TTTTTTTTTTTTTTCCCTTGCGTTGTCAAATGAGGCGGTTCTTCACTCCTTCACAAGGAGCAATGCTCTACTCAAAAAGGCCTGACTTGATTTATTAGCTAAAGAAATATATTGTGTAAAAGGCTGGAAGGCTTTACATGTCCTTGCACAGAGCTGAAGTGCTACTTGGGAGCTTGCAATCACGGGTTTCATTAAACTGGAGCAATACACTAGGAAATGCAAAAATTCTTTATGAATAAAAAGGACAAGCTCTTTCCGCCTGGCTTGACAAGATATACTGCTACCCCCTCCCATCTGCACTGAAACATTGAAGATATAGCCTAAGAAGGTGGTTCTGCATCTTCTGTAATTATTGTGGCAAGTGAACAATTCAGCACTAGTTTTAACAAACTCATCCATAAAGATTATACCACTGAAATCATCTTCATGTTTTCTCAGCACTCTGTTTAAGAATAGAGCAGGAGAAGCAAAGGTGAAATTGGAAAGCAGAGAGGACTAGAATGCTTTTCAAGATACATGGTTTGAATGCAGACTTTTGCCAGGAGCAAGACAAATTGGACTTGGTTGCAAAGCAATAGGAATCTGACATAATTAACTCCTTTCCCCCCTGTACTTTTGAACATCAGAGTAGCTGTTAAATATGGTTTTCCTCAGATAGTCTTCCAGATACTAAAGGAGGCAATGTTTTTTCTATATCCTTATATCTAAAAAAAAAAAAAAAAAGCTAGAGGGACTGACCTGGATATGACAATATTTGGAAGGTTTACTTTTCATTCGACTGGAGGCACCCCTCAGAAAATGCTAGCTCTTCATTTTCACTTGTTTTTTTGAGTACAGAAAACAAATAGAGCAATTCTTCTGTTCCAAAGAACTCGGATATAATGAATTGCATTCTCCTGGACCATTGAGCCTCTTAGAGATCAAAATCTGTTTTTATCCTAGGAGCAAAGCCCTGCCATTAATGCTCCTGGGCTTGTCTGTTTGCTCCTCATCTGCCTCCTCTATACTCCCCTTTTTCTTGCTTACCAAACGTCCACATACGCTCTCATTACAGGCCACTAATAATTCACTTCCATGAAGTGGAAGAGTTCAGAGGAGTGTGATATATTAATGATATATTACAAAGGCATTGCTAACGCTGGGCAAAGATAGCAGGAATCCAGAGATCTTGCATTCAGAGCCAGACGTTGCCCTCAACCACTGAATGTCATGCGTTCCTTTCCCCACCAGCCCTTTTGGAAATCAAGGGTAACCATGCACCTGCTCTGTAAGTCCATGGCAGTTACCTTATAGGTACGTAATCATAATGGATGCTTGTTCCCTGCAGGTTGTGTATTACTTTTCAGTTCAGCTAAAGAACTGAAAAGAAAGGAGCTTCTAAAGAAATGGTGGGCTTTACACTCTGTATGGCAAATTATTACATATTTCTTTCATGATTTCAGTTGTCAAAGATACTTCTCAGCCTAAATGCTTCCAAACCGCTTTGTCAATTACTTTTCTTTTGGCGTTAATGCAGAATTATTTTCAGCTCCCTTTCCAAAGGCTCCTGTACTCTTCTGACCTTTCCTTGAGTTGCTAAGTATATGAACCTCAGGGGAATATGAATCCTGTGACCAGCATGTCCAAAAGTCCTGTTTCAGGTGATATTTGTATTTGTGACTGGAAAATAAATTGTTTACATACAGGTCAAGTTTAAATTTCAAATGCTTATGGAAAAGTCAGATTGTTTTAGTCCAATTCCTCCATCCCTTTCTAAATGC